GACACAATGACTATTTCTCTATTAATTTGTACAACATCCTAGTTCAAATCTAAGAAATAGTAAAAGGAAGGATTTCACTTGGTAGACTTTAGGCAGAAGTTTAATGATGTTTGTGATGAGCTGAATATAAAGATCAATTAAAAATATGAAATCTTGATGCCAAGAACCAAATGTTATTGACTTTAAAATATTTTGCTTAGTGGTTTAGATTTTAAGCCTGGAGCTGCACAGCCTGGAGATGGATGCCATCTCTGCTGCACAGCTGGGCAACCGTGGGTAGTCTGCTCAGGCTCTCCAAGACTGTGTTCCTCATTCTCCAAAGGGGGATGGTAACAGTCCATACTATAACCTATGCAGAGCCCTGAGTCCAGAGCCTGAAACTTGGTTGGTTCTCAGTAAATGTTAGCACTTGTTGCTATTTAAGTGTTTTTCCAACGGGATATCTTTGGTGAGCCTAACTCCCTTTCTGACCTAAGTGTTTCTTGTGGCTACAGCATCTGTCTGTAGAGTGGCTGGTGAGAATGAGGACTCTAGTTGGTCTCCATATAGTCTTAACTGCAGATTGGGACATTTTTAACATTATTGTTGGACAGTCCAGTTAACCAGTACAGCAGTTAAGCAATTAGAGAGCTTGGCAGTAAATCTTTAAGATATTTTTAAAATGTATTTTACAGCTACTATAAACCAAATTATAAACAGAGAATCAAAGATTAGTTTTGTAATGATAAGTTTTTTAAGCATCTAAGGGAAAGCAAATCCTCATTTTACTCTTTTCAGTTTCACTGAACTTCTGGCCTAGATTTCCTCAGGTTCTAACTGGTATAAGGTTTTGCTTTATTTAACAGCTTGTAAAAACCACGTGGGAGATGTATTTTCTGGAGGTTTTTGTTGTTGTTAAGGAATAAATAAGTTACTTTTTTAAAAGGGCTATTTTGTGCAAAATATTCGTTTTAAAAAGAGATCTAACTCTTCAAGTAGATATATTTAAGGCTTCCAAAATAAAGGGTAAGACATTCTTTTTCTATATGTTGTAGACCTATAGAAATAAAATTAGAAGAAAATGTATCATATAGGCACATTGTTTAAGAAAATAGACTCTGGATTCAAATCTTGGCTTTAACCACTTACTAGCTCTGTGATTTTAGGCAAATTGCTGATGTTTTCTACTCAGTTTCTTCATCTGAAGAGGCCTAATAATATTACCTAATTAATAGAGTTATAATGAGGATTAAATTGTGTTGAATTAAATATATGTTGAAGCATTTAGGGTCATGTCTGGTACCTAAACTCTTTAAATGTTAATCATGATACCAACAATGACAGTGACTACCAGCTCATCCGAACAAAAAGGAAAACTAGAGTAAAAATACTGTATTTCAACATCTTAAATTTTTCTCTTTCTAAAACTATCTGAAAAAACTTTTTTAAAAAAACAATTTTTGGCCTTAGCCTCTGAAAAAAGTTTTTAAATTCTTTTAATGTAACACTTAACTTTATGTAATGAGGTTAATTCCCGTGCCCCAGGGCATTGCTCATCTCATGTTTACTTGCTGGTCAGACTTAATAGAGATGCTGAAGATGTGTTGGGGGTGGTATTTCCTATATAACGTTCTTTTCCTTGTAAAGTTAAAAAAAACTTAAAAATGTGACATGAAGTTTGTGATTTCATATCAGAAAACCTGGATTCAAGTGTCTGTGCTGCCTGTTCATCAGAGTAGACAGGTTACCTGGCCTCTGGCACCCTCTTCTCCTTCAACTGCAAAGGTAGAATAAGATACTGTCTGTGAAGTGTTGGTGTGAGAAATAAATTCACCTCCTGATGAGGCTCTGTATCTCCCTCTATAACAACACTGTTCAGTAGAAATAAAATCCGAGTCACCTGTAATTTTAAATTTCCTAATAGCCACATTTAAAAAAAAGAAAGAAATGAAGTTAATTTTAATATATTTTATTTAACTCAATACCTCCAAAATATTATCATTTCAACATGTAATTAATATATAAATTATAAATGAGATTATTTTTTCATGTTAAGTTTTTGAAATCTAGTGTGTATTTTATACTCACATTGCATCTCACTTTGAACTGGCAACATTTCAAGTGCTCAATAGCCACATGTGGCTAGTGGCTACCATACTGGATAGTCCAGATCTAGAATATAGAGTGATATTCCTCATCAGCATCCTTGAGCACTGGTGCTGCCTTGGCCTTAAGCAGTTAACACAGCTTTATTCTTGAAACTGTGTGTTCTTCTGAATGGATGAGCTTTACATTTCTTTCTTCAACAACCTAGATTAGTATCTCTGCTCCCATGAGGACAGGGTCCTACTTTTAGCCTTCTGGCTGACACAGGTGAGGACTTGCTCTGGGCATGTCCTGTGCCTCTCTTTTGGGCCAAGGCTGGTATACAACCAGGAATTCCTGACCCCTTGAGTGTGTTCAAACTTTTGAACCACAAGGATCAGAGCTCCGGGGCAGGATCAGAGCTTCAAGATAGGCTCAGGCTTTGTGCTATCCTTTCATTCTTTTATCTGTCCTTTTTTGTCTTCTTTCCCAAATTTCAGAGCCTTATCTAGTGTCCCTGGGAAAAGAGCAAATATTGGCAGTCTTCTAAAGGAATTCAGCTTCTCTGTCTTCTCCTTCAGTGTGGACTCAACAAGGCTGCCCATCTCTTCCTAAACATTATTTTGACTTTTTAAAAGACATTTAGAACTTTTCTGGGGGCCAGTAGATTTGGGGGATGGGAGAGGTACTCATATCTAAACTTTTTTTTTTTTTTTTTGAAGGCTTTCTGATACTATCTTTCATCCAAATTTTGGGAGAGTTATAATTAAGGAGTGTTACCCTAAAGGCTGTATGGTAAATGGTAAAAAACAGGTAGAGAATATGGGATTCAGGTACTCATCCAACAAAAAAATCAGCTCACTGTCACCTTCATAGAAAGTCCTACCCTGATCACTCTATCTAAAATAGCTGCCAGCCGCTAGCACTCTCTCTCTTTTTTCTGTAAATATCTGCTAACTAACTAAAATTCTTCGTTTGCGTTCCCAAATAGAATATAAGCTCTATTAGAGTATGGACTTTTATTTGTTTACCCCTGCATCCCCAACTCCTAGTACAATGCCTGGCACTCAATAAATGCCTGTTGAATCAATGAATAAAGAAGTGAAAGGTAATACTAAGATATTCTTCTCTATGTGTACTAGTGTGGGGCACGAGGAGAGGAGAAAGAAGTAGTTTATAACGGAGTTGTAAAAGCGAGGTGTAGGAGAGCTAATCTATACCAGGTGAAAATGTGAGATGATGCAGGATAATAAAGTGGAGGGAGTCTTGGGATAGGGAACAACTGAAAACATTTTATAGTTCAGGTGCTATAAATATGTCTGAGGTTTTTGGGCAAGACAGTTGGCATAGCAGGGAATGGAAGGTTAGGGAAAAGGTGAGAGAGATGCATAGCCATAGAGACTAGTATTATTTGGAGGAAATGTGGGCTATATAAGGCTTGTGGCCCCAAATCCACAAATCATATTTCCATTGTCTTTGTTTAGAATCTTTATTTAAAATCTTAATTACCCTTGTCAGTTTCTCAGTCGTTCTTCCAGTTTACCTCTTATGCCTTTGTACCAACTTGTTGCCACTCCCCGTACCTTGTGCTCCATGGAATTATGGGACCTGTGAGCACAGACTCATCATACTCTACCAAGGCCAGAAGTTCCACTGTAACTCCCACTTGTAACAGGAGCACCCCGCCAATAAAAAGTGATCTGAATATGTTGAAAGCTCAAGTTTTGTTAAGATTTATGGTGCATTCAGGTAAATTTTTAGCAAAAGAAGTAAATGCAGACTTACTGTCAGTTTTTACCTTTCTTTGTTCTACTGATACCGCCCCGGGTGGGCCTGGGGTTCCCAGTCAGACCCGGCCCTTAGTATGGGTTCTTGATCTGGCGCAGGAAAGAATTCAGGAGCGGATCAGGAGAGATTATACAAGTTTATTGAAAGACGAAAGCTAGGCTGATTAGAAGGAAACTAAGGAGGGAAAGCCAGCCGGGCTGATCAGGTGGAAACCGACTGACTAGCGCCAGGCGGGGTCCAGGGTGCTGATTCATAGTGGTAGGTGGGCAGCTGGGGATTGGTTAGGCTGAAGCAGGAAATCGGGTTGGCAGATGGGGATTGGTTAGTCTCTGGGCCAGGCGGTCATCATCTGCAGGCCAGGCAGGCGGTCATCTGGTGCTGCTTGAGAGACAGTTTTCTGTTCTGCCTTTTCCCTGTCTCACTACTTTAAATGAGAAAACCTCTTGTTTTATGTAGATATGACAGCTTTTTTATAGTAGTTAGCACGAATAAATTATTTGGTTTGTGAATGTATTTAAGAAAAACAGTAAGCAAAATAGTATATACATTTTTTATTGAAGTAAAATCGGTATGTAACATTATATAAGTTGCAGGTGTACAACGTTGTAATTTGACATCTGTATACACTACAGAGTGATCACCACTAAAGCTCTAGTTACCATCCGGCACCGTCAAATTGACCCCTTTCACCCAACCCCCAATCCCCTTCGCCTCTGGTAACCACCAATCTGTTCTCTGTATCTATGAGTTTTTGTTTTTGTTTTGTTTGTTTTTGTTTGCTTAGAGTCCACATATGACTGAAATCATATGGTATTTGTCTTTCTCCATCTGCTGTTTCTCTTAGTATAATACCCTCAAGGTCCATCTATGTTGTCCTTAAGTGTCCATTGATGGATGAATGGATAAAGAAGATGTGGTATATACATACGATGGAATACTACTCAGTATATACTTTTTATATTGTGGCAGTAGGCTTTAATTTCAGTTGGGTTTTTTACAATTTTAAGGTTTTATAAAGTTTGATTAAAGACTAGTACTCTAGTTGTAGTAGGTAATTTTTAAGGACTGTTTCTAATTACATGTAGTTTAACTTTAAATTTAAATGATAGTTCAAATGATGCGTTTTAACCTAACATCTTCCTTCTTAGTCTGTAAGACTTGTATTGTCCAGCACTTTGAAGATAGCAATGATTGTCCAAGGTGTGGCAACCAGGTTCATGAGACCAATCCATTAGAAATGTTGAGGTAAGTAAATGTATTTTATAGTTCATCTAATGTAAATAAATTATATAAACTCTTAGTAAGTTTTATTATACATCATAATGTTTGTCTTGACTCAGTTCATGTAGGTTTTATGAATTTTACAATTTTCATTTTAAAGCATTTTATTTCATTTTTAAAAGAATTTTATTAAAAAGAATTTAAAAATAGGCTGGATGTCTTAAGTATTAATAAGAAATACATTTCCAAATTAAAAATTTTAGCTTTATCTCAGCCTGTCAGAATTACCTTAGTTATAGTTTTTTTCAGTATTTCAGTACTCTGCTATTGTTGAGCTACATGGTAGTGGAAAAAGAGCAGATGTAATAGTCGGGAAGACTCATCTTGGTAGTATTAATTTTTTAAAATTTATATATTCAGAAAGTATACAAATGTTTATGTAAAATGTAAAGAATGTTTTTAAATGACTACCATTTAATTAAGAAGTATAATCATATATTTTTAAAGCTGAAAGTGGTCTATAAGATCCTAATAGAAACCCTTTTTTCCAGGTAAGGAAATTGACATTTATAGAAGGGAAACAACTTTGCTTAAGGTCTCAGCACACTCAAATATCACTTCCCAGCTACAGGCCAGGTGCCCTCACCACGAACCCGTTTTCTTCCCACTATTCCTACCATAGCTCTACCAAAGATTAACTGCGATTTTAGGGAAGTACACATTTAAAACCAGAACTAGATATTCTCTATGTAGCCTTTTATAATGCTTGCATCTGTGTGATGTTTGCCATCATTCTCTAAATCTGGATTTGCAAGTCTTACATTTCAGACTTTTCTTTTTCCCTATTTTAGTGCCTATAGTTGGAGTAATTTGTCTATAAGTAAATGTCTAGCCTGGTGGTTTTCAAAGTGTGGTCCCCAAACCATTAGTGTGTTGTTAGAAATGACAGTTCTCAGACCTGCTGAATCAGAAACTCTGCGAGTGAACAGCATCTTAGTGTAGCAAGCTCTCCAGGTGATGCTGATATGCACTAACATTTGGGAGCCATTGTTCTGCTATAGTCTGTAGTCCTGAGTGAGGCTTCTGCCAGTTGGATTTAAATCAGTGGTTTTCAACCAGGGGTGATTTTGCCCCCCAGGTTACATTTAGCCATGTCTGGAGTCATTTTGATCGTCAGGACTGGGTGGACGCTGCTAGCATCTAGTGGGTAGAGGTTAGGGATGCTGGATGCTGCTGAGCATCCTATAATTCACAGGACAGTCCCCCCAAAATGATGTAGCCCAAAATGTCAGTAATGCTCAGGTCAAGAAACCCTGATTTGAATAATTCAGGGAAGAACAAAAACTTTTCCTGTCAAATAAATTACATCCTAATGTTTTTATGAAAAACTGTAACAGTTAATAATACTACCTCTCCATTTTAAAGTGCTGTGTTGTAAGACAAATTAACTTTTGGTTTTGACCATTAGATACTTGAGGGAATCCAGTCGCAGTTTAATCAGTTCTAATCCATTGGCTCAAGTATGGATATCATGTATTTTTTTTATTTGCAACTTAGAAAAGTTGCAAAAATAAAAGTATTACAAGGAACACTTGTGTTCTCTTTACCCAGATTGTCTGTTATTAACATTTTATCTCATTTGCCTTATCACATATACATATGCTTTCTCTATTTTTTCTGAACCATTTCAGGGTAAGTTACACATCATGGCCCTTTACCCCTACATACTTCCATGTGTATTTCCTAAGAATAGAGGTATTATCTTATATAACCACAGTATAATTGCATTGGTATAATGTTTTAATCTACCCTCCATATTCCAGTTTTGTCAGTCTATCTAGTAGAGTCCTTTATAGCAGTATTTTTTCCATCCTATTTCACTACAATTACTACAAAGGAGTTTTTTTTTAAGATATAAACTCACAGAGATAATAAGAACAAGAACTTCAGTATTCTTGGCAGGAAGGATAACTCCTGGAACATAACAGGTTCTCAGTAAATACTTGTTGAAAAGATGAGAAGCAGCAGTAGCAAAACATGGGAAGCTGGAGAGCAGATTGATGGTAGTGATGGCTGAGCAGACCCAGACACCTAAGTGTACTAGGAGGTGTCAGGGGGAAGAGCTTTACCAAAGATTGGCCCAAACTAGCTCACATGCCAACCCTTAGGTAAAGGGGTAGTGTGGGGCTTTCAGATGCCTTAGCAAGTCATGATTTACCCCTAAGGCTGGACACATTGCTGCCGGAACATAACCAGATTTTCTTAGCAAGAAATAAGGGGAATTAATGCTTCTTCAGTAGGTAACAGTGTCTGCTACACAGGCATCAGTGGATTTATCTCCTAAGTACCCTTTCTCAGGAACTATTGGAGGATGTGCTGGAGTATAAACCAAGGAAGAGGAAGGGACTCTAACATAGGAGAGAGGTGAAGGAGTATGACAGTTGTGGAGTAGGCCCAGAAAACAAGCAGTCTATGTCTGTGCTGTCCACAGTGGTAGTCATTAGCCACATCTGGCTGTTGAGCACTTGCAGTGTTGTTGGTGCACCTGAGGAATGGAATTTTTATTTAATTTAAATTAAAAACTGAAACAGTATAAATACTTTCCCATTAAATAAAACTCTATTGAGTAAATAAAAATTAATAAATGCATTATTAAATATATTTTAAACAAAACATTACTAAAATGAATTTTACATAAAACCTAAAATACTTTTCTTAATGTGCCTACTAGAAAAATTTGAAATTACATATTTGACTCACATTATATTTCTATTGGACATCACTGATATGAATAGTAGGAGGAGGATGGAGAACTCTCTGTGGGCATCATTCATTCAACAAATATTTGCTGAACACCTGCTATGTCCAGGCATCATTCCTAGGTGCTTGAGGTCAATTAGTGGGCAAAATAGATAAAGATTTTTGCCCTTGTAGAGTTAATATTTTTGTAGGGATGGACAAGCAATAAACCATATAATAAATAACTTTTATGAAATGTTAGAAAGTGCAAAGGGAGAAAAAGAGAAACTGCTGCAGGTAAGGAGGGATCCGGAGTGTGAAAGGAGGGACACATTGCAATTTTAAATAAAATGGTGAGGATAGGCCTCGTCGAGAAGGTAAGATTTGAGCAAAGAATCAATGGCTGTGAGGAAGTTAATCACATATACTATAGATAGCCCTTCATTCAACTTTTTTCTCTCCCTGGAGTTAGTAATTTGCTTTCTTTTCTTCATTTTCTATTTCCAAATTCTCTAAAAGAATCTCTTCTCACTATGTGTAAACATACCAGGAATAAACTGGTTTCATTTCTGTCCCTCTGAGACCTCCCTCACCAATTTGATGTCCTTTCTGTCCTCCTAATCCAATTTAGGATTGATTTAATCCACGGTCAATCGTTAAAGCCACACCTTTGCATGTACCTTCAATCCCCTTGTCCCTCTCTCACTTAACTCAAAATTATTTGGTACAACCACAACTCTGCTTAAATCCAGCTGTCCACTACCTCTGCGCTTGCACCCATGGCTGGAGAGACACAGAGCCCCACCCCTTCACATTCATAACTACAACCCAGCTGTGCCTTTAAGGTTGCCAGGAGTCATACTGCATTTCCCTAGTCCATTTATTCTCTCACTGTCCTGGACAACACACATTTTTTCTTTCCTCAAGCCCCTACATCCCCTGTCTCCATGCTTACTTTTGGCTGATAAACATTTTCTCCTCAATGAAAAACTTCCACAGACTCTGATGACCACATCTACCCCCCGCATCTGCACTCGTGTGTACTCTGCCTTTCTGCCTGTTTCTACAGATGATCTGTCAATGCTCCTATCTAAAGCCAATCTCTTATCTTATGCTGTTAGATCCCATTCCCTCTCATCTGCTCAGGAACATTTCTTCAGCAATCCCTCCTCCACCCCATTCTCCTACATTAACTTTGTGCTCTCTACTGGATCCTCCTCTTCAAACATGCCATTATTTCTCCCGTATCAAAACAAAAGAGAAACCTTGACTGTACCTCCTCTAACACCTGCCACTGCATTTCTTTACTCCCAATTGTAGCAAAACTTGAAAGAGTTGTCGATACTCACTGTTTCTAATTCTTCTTCCTCCTTTTCTCTCTTGAAACAATCCAGTTAGGTTCTTGCCTCACAGCTCTACTGAAGGTGCTCTTGTCAAGGCTGATGACCTCCGTGATGCTGAATCCAACCATCACTTCTCAGCCTTCACCTTACTTGACCCATGAACAACATTTGACACTGCTGATCACTTCTTTCTTTGATACACTTTCTTTACTTGGCTTCCAAGCGCCATGCTCCTGGATTTTCCTTCTATTTTGCTGATTGTGCTTTCTTAGTTTCCTTTGCTGGTTCCTCCTCTTCTCCCTGATCTCTCAATGTTAGGGTGCTCCAGGGCTCAATCCTTGGTCCTCTACTTTTCTCTCTCCCTTAAGTGATCTTGTCCTGTCTCTCAGCTTTAAATTCCTTCAATATGTTGAAGACTACCACACATTTATCTCCAGCCCAGACTTCTCCCCTTGAATCACAGACTTCTATATCCATCTGCCAACTTTCTCTCTTCTCTAAGATGACTAACAGATTTAATGTGTCCAAAATCAAAACTCCCAATCTACCCTTCCCCGCAAACCTGCTGTATTCTTAGTCTTCCCTCTCTTAGTTAATGACAACTCCATTCTTCCAGTTGCTCAGGTCAGAAATCTTAAGAGTCACGCTCTACTCTTTAACTCACACCCTATATCCAATCCATCAGCAAATCTTGCTGGATCCTCCTTCAAAATATTTCTGGGATATAACCATTTCTTTATATCTTTATATCGAACCATTAACCCCCTCTACTGCTACCATCTCTTACCTGGACCACTCAGATTACCTTCCGACTGTTCTCTCTTCTTCTACCCTTGCCTTGCTATGTGCAGCGTATTCTCAACATGGTCATTAAAATGATCCTTTTAAAACTAAGCCAGGGCATGTCAATTCTCTAAGCAAAACCTTACAGTGGCTCCCCATTTCACTCAGAGTAAAAGACACTGATTATTAAATAAAAAATGGTACTAAGACATCAGGAAGATGAGAGTAGGGGAAAAGTATATGTTTGCAGTATGGTATCAGAGAAAACCTTTATCTTCCATAAAAGAAAGTCAGAAACATCTAGACAGCAGAAAAAGCGTCACTGTATTTATATATATTATAATGATATATAAATATAAATATGAAAGTAAATACTAGAAGCAGCAGGTTGGATTTGAAAGTGGTTGCCTCTGGGCTTGTAGGAATCAGGAACGGAGAGTGTGGGGCAAGAGAACGTTGTATTTTAATCTAAGTTTTATGGTTTGTAAATTATGTATATATATTTCTTTGATAATAACAAAAGTATTAAGAAGAGAAGTACTACTTCTTTTAAGTACTATCAGTAAATAATCTGGGAAAACTGAATGAGTTTGTATTTGAGGTAAGTCTTGAAGAATAAGGTAACATTGATTTGGTTGGAGAGTAGGAAGAGTATTTGAGCCAAGAGGAAGGGCATGAGGGAGAAAAACAGTTTCAAGGTCAGCCCATATTCTTGGGGTGGTGAAATAGTCTCCATCCCTTAATCAAGGGAAGAATTTCAAAGTCGCATTCCAAGGTTGTAGATAGAGAGCTGGGGACTGGGACCATTTTTATAATCAGTCTACCACTGTGGGAAAGGTATGCTCCACGTGCAGAGAAATTTGGTATAGTAGATGTGCTAAAATTGTGTATGTTCTGTATTTTTAATACATATAAGATACAGATCTCAAACTGTTTACATGTTGGATTTTGATGTCTTCGTTGTTAGTATATTCTCTTTTTTCCTCTTTGAAAGGTTGGACAATACGTTAGAGGAAATCATATTTAAACTGGTCCCTGGACTACGAGAACGTAAGTTGCTCCTTGGTTTCTTGGAGATTTTTGTGTTTTATGAAATCAAAATTTCTATTAAAGATTTCATAATTCTATTATTTTTATACTTCTTTTTTTTCTTTTACATTAGAAGAACTTGAGCGTGAATCTGAATTTTGGAAGAAAAATAAGCCTCAAGAAAATGGACAAGGTGACTTTTTCTTCTGTAGCTGATAGAATCTTTCAAAATGGTCAGCTTTTTGTAGCTTTGGTGGGCTAATATCTCTCTCCAAACTCAAATTTCTCCTGTACAAAATTAATATACCCCTTTATTTACATTTATGAACCTTTCTCTCATTATGAGCCTTTTATGTACAATCTTATATAAATGTGTGTAAAGCTGGAGTCACTCCAGTTGAAGATAATTGGAAATAGAGGAAATTGGATTTCAGGAAGAGAAAAAGGAAATAAAACAGAAAACTGACTTCTGGTTATAACAATATTTGCTGGAGAGCTAAAGGAAAATTAAGTAAGAAATAGCCATAGCCTGCAGATAAACAGTGAGGGGTTTTCTGTTTTGTTTATTTTGTTTATTTCATTTTATATGTTTGTTTTAATAGGAGAGGAAACAGAGGTATAGCTGAGAAACAGATCAGGGGACTTTGCTGTGCTCTGATAATCTGGAATGAAGTTTTCATGAGGGGTGCTCAGATGATACACATTTATGTATCCTGGGATTTGAAAGATAGTTCTAGGTGCTGTGGGAATTTTCCCCATCGCCTATGCTAAGGGTCCAGATTTCTCTTCTGGGTCTTAGGAGACTCAGCAATCAGTAATTTTCACTGTTTGCCAGCAAAGTGGCAAACATTACTGGGCAAAGTCTTTTAGTATGTATATAATTCACACAAAGGGGGAAAAAGTATAATATATCTGAAATGATAAGGAAGTAGTCTTGTTTCCCATTGTTATGTAATATGAGGTTTATTTCAAGATGGCCTAAATACCATTGAAATCTTTCAAGGATGTATGTGTGTTTTTGTAAGCTCACTTGTGAGCTTAATTTTAAGATTAAGATTATAAGATTGTCAGTTATACATCATTAAGATGGATGAGACAATGCTGTCTTTCTCTTTTCATCTGTAAAATGGAGATCATAGTTTATTAGTTCAACTTAACTATGCAGGACTGGCTTCCTATAGCAGGGGAGGTTTGAGAATAGTTTTGAGTGACTGGAATAAGGCAACAAGGGATTATTTTTGAGCTATAACAACAAAATGGGCAAAGAAGCCAAGCCTGACAAAAAATGACTTAACTAAAGGCTTGTTTTACCCAAGTGTAAATTAGCCAAGTGTAAATTTAGACAATAGTGTTATAGTAAAAATATAGATAATATAAAGTTGACTAAATGTTTCAGTTTTTGACTACCTTTTCAAGAGGACAGGAGCCCAGGGAATCGTCGTCAGAAGCCATATGGTAGGTTTAGTCCATGACTCTGTATTTTATAGACTGACTTGTGAAGAAACACAGGCCTACTTGGTGTTTGTCTCCCCTTTCCCATTATTTCTCCCTTTTAAAAGTATTTTATAATATTTGGTCTTTAGTTTGGGTGGAGCATTTGGATCTTTTCTTGGAGCTAAGAGTTTGGTTCATAAAAGGCAGCTCCTGTTACATGAGTTCCATATAAATACATAGAAGAAAGAATGCAGAAGAAAGAGAACCCACCTGCCCTTTATGATACAACTCTAATGCTTTTACTACAGGCATTGAAAGAGGAGCTAACTTGTCTTTTTTTTTAATACTGTAATGCTTGCCTGGCTTATTCTTCAAGTTTCAGCTTAGAGATATTTTATCTGGAAATCTTCCCTGAATCTCTGCTTCACCCCAAAGTTTGGGTTTATTACCTCTCTTACATGTGCCCACATAGTCTATTTTACCTCGTCCATCAAAGTCCTTATGACACTTCTCCATCTGTCTGTTTCCTTTTCTTGCTTGTATCTCCTCCTACACCCTGACCACTATGAGGGTGAGGATGATAACAGCCTTGTTTCAATATTGTTCCCTCAGGCCTAGCACAATGCATGTATAAGTTAAAGGCACTCAAGAAATGAATGAATCAACAAATATAGTTGCATTATACATAGGCTACAGGTATTTCATGGGTTAAATACATTTGTATATAATACAAAGTATGCTATTCAGATTTCTTTAATGGAGTTTTAACATATTACGTAGCTACTTACGTGTTAAAAAAGCTAATTCATTCTATTCATACTTCACTAGCTGATGAAATTTTTAAAACTTAGAGAATATTTTATAGTTTGGAAAGAGTACTTGTTTTTAAATTTGAGTATATGGAGAATTTGGAAGTATTTTTATATCCTGTCTACTTTTTAAGTGCTCTGATTGACTAATTGCAATCATTTTTGTGACCAGATTTCATTTGGATGTCCCAGTGAGCCTAGAAATCTTAGGCTTGTTAATAAGTAGCTGATGGTTTTTTTTTAAAATATTTCCTATTGTTGAGTTGATTGGAACATTTTAAAGATACTAAAGTTTTCAGGTATTCTTCGTCAAAAACTGTTAAGAAATGTTTTTTAAAGTTGATTTTTGTTTTGATGATTACTATATTGTTAACTTTAAAATCAACTTCGAGTTCTAACTTAGTTTTATTTAAATTATGCAGATGATACTTCAAAAGTTGACAGACCTAAAGTTGATGAAGAAGGTGATGAAAATCAAGATGATAAAGACTATCACAGAAGTGACCCACAAATTGCTATATGTCTAGATTGTTTACGAAATAATGGACAATCAGGGGACAATGTAGTAAAGGTGAGTGGATGGGTACAGTTGTATTTTTATAACCATTTTATAGTACATCTTTGATAATTTGTTGATGAATTTTCCTAATGTTTCAAAATGTTTGCTTTTGTAGTTTTTATTAACATGATCAAATAGAATGCCCTTCTCTGACAGAATACCTACGAATGTCCAAGCAATTGCTTCCTCCAGGCACCTGATTTCCACCCCTGGCAACTGAAACATCCTGGTCCAATGCTACCACCTAGTGGCTAATGCTGAGAATCACACCTCTGTTTCTCTATCCACCTCCTTTTATACCTTTGTTGGGAGTTCATAGACACTGTTTCTCCCTTTTTAAGTGTGATGACCAAGTCACAGTCAGATCATTTCATGTCAGGCTGTCTCTCCAACCCTTTTATTCACCCTCTAATAATTTTCTCATTTATATTTACAGTGCAAAAAGCTATTCATGTCATGGCTAATATGTTTTATGAGAAATATAATTAATTGGGTTTGAAGTAAAATTGGATGTTGTAAAGTACCTGTGAACTTTTAAAGTCCTTAAAAGCTCTCAGATATTTCCTGTAGAAGCTGCAATTCTAATCCTGTTTCCCTCTCTGCCTTTTTGTAAAGAGTCTATACTAGAGAGTTTAAAACACCCTACTTAGTTTTCACTTTATTATTTAAATAACAGCATTTAAAAGCCAAAGAATTTCTGCTTTTTTCTTGCAAGTAACTTTCATTTTCATTATAAATGTTTACTACTTTAGCTCTCAAATAGATTTTTGTCACTTAGTCCAAGCACGTCAGCCATTGAGAACATTTCTGTCTTTGTATTCCATGTTTCATTCAAATACTTGTATTCACTGTCTCTTATTTTCTTTTACTTCCTGTGTGTAATCTGTAGGCCAGTGTGTTGAATTTTTTACTAATACATTTAATGGCATTTTTCTATTAGGAAATTAAAAACATAATTTTTGAAATCGGATTGTTTTCCCAGCATCATGCAACAAAGACTATGAGCGTAGCGATTCAATGAGTATTTATTCACTGTGTAGATATTAGACAGTGAAGGTATAAGTAATAAAATTTTTTCACTCAAGGAACTTTGGTTAGGTCTTAAACAGTTATAATACAATAAGATGATTGATTTAGTTAAAAGGGGCTGGTTGGACAAGGCGTGTAGTAATGCACAGCAGTCTTTAGAGAATTGGTCACCGTACCTATTTGTCCTTCCAGACTTCTCTCTTGTTTTTTATGCTCTGGTGCAGTCCCCTTACCTTTTGTAAGTCTTTTGTGTGGGTTTTTAATAATCTTACATTTCTCTCTTCTAGCCGGTCATTTTTGTAATCCCCTTTTTGGAAGTTGTGATCATCCTTTAGCTCTCTAATACATGAGTTAATATCTTGAAGTAAAAATTAAGTCAGTAGAAAGGCTGGATATCCTTTCTTCTCTGCAGGATTTCTAGTATGAAAGTTATAATGCATTTAATTTTAGAAATTCATCTGAAAAATTTACTACTCCCTAGCTTGATACTCTCCTCTTTTTGAAATCTTTGATATTCACCATTCCAGTTGACCTTTTATCCATTCGCTCTTTCCTTTATAGACTTTTCTTCACCCTAGTGCCTTCTTTCTTAAAACAACTTTCATAGCTTCCATGACTTGACTTTGCTACTGCGATTCACACCTTCCCTCTCTGGCCCTTCCTACCCTGTCTCCTGCTTGATGTATGTGAGTGTCTCCCAATACCTAGTGCTCCACTCAGTTATTCTTCCTCCATATTCATCCTAGGAGGTCACTTCCGTTTTTGTAGCTTCAGCTGTGCAAAAGAACTTTTAAATCCTCATTTTCAGCCCTGCCATCCCTCCCAAGATGAAGTATTATATCTCTAACTATTTTTAAGTATCCCAGTTAGGAATTTCACTAACATCTGAAACTTAATATGTTTAAAGACAAATTCATTATATTTTCACCTAACTTTACTCCAAACATGCAACTTTAGTTATCACTACTATCTTTCAACCAATCGTACAAGTTCAAAACTGAAGTCGTCTTCAACCTTTTACTGTTTCCCTTCAACTAGTCATAAATCCTGCAAAATTTCTCTCAGTCTAGTGCTGTTCACCTTATATTTAGATTTTTAAAAGCAGTCTCTTAAGTGCTTTCTGTACCCTTAATTTCTCTTCTCTTATCTAAGGCTGAGGCTGCAGTCTGAGTGTTTGCAAGGCGGAGAGGGTGAGGGCCAGAGTCATGGCCAATATCAGAGTCAGATAGTAAATATTTCAGGCTCTGTGGGCCATATGGTCCATGTTGCAACTACTCAGCTTATTCAAGGTGGCACTAAAGCAGCCATAGACAATAGTGAATGAACTGGCATGGTTGTGTTCCAATAAAATTTTACTTAAAAAATAAGTGGCCGGCCAGATTTGGCTTGTGGGCCTTCACCACAGTTTGCCACCTTCTGATTATAGAATCAAGTGTTAACTGCTTGTATTAGCATTCAAGGCCTTTCACTAGCTCCTATCTTGATAAGTTTATCTCCTATTATACTCATCCGTGAACATTCCTCTCAAGACAAATGATTATTGCTTTATATATGAGTGTTAGCATATATCTTGGCACTTATACCTGACAAAGTACTTGCATCCAGAATATAAAGACTCGTTTTAAGAATATTTAAAAGTCGTTCCTTTTTAGCATATTCTTTTCTCTTCTCACCACTGTCCTATGCTTCTGTCAAGACCCAAGGAGAGACCTCTGTTCGTTGTGATGCTTTTCCTACCCTAGTGAATCCCTTGTCTGAAATTCTGTAGAACTTGCATTTATCATTCAATTGGTGCTTAATTTATTAGTTAAAGTCAGTATTTATTGTGTTCCTAAATGTACCAGGCACTGATATTGTCTTTTATTTTTTTTGGTGTGTGTCTTGTTCTTGAAACTAGATTATAAACTCCTTAAAGGCAGAGAAACAATATCTATGTTCCTTTATAGCCTTCTCAGCCAGCTCATTCCTCTGCAGTAGGATGTGATTCTCAAATGTGGTGGTGGAGTATTTGCATATATAGTTTATACAGTAGATCTATTGCTTTTGTAATTCAAAAGTCAGTCAAGAGCAGGAAGGCGGTGAAAATAGTAAACACCTCCATACAAGCAGTGAAAAAAATGGCAAAAACTTTCAGGATCAACTTTTTCAGAAATCTGATGATAAGCCAAAGGCTTGCAGAAACCCCTGGAGCATGTAATCAAGAAAAATGGCTGACTCTTGGTGAGAACAGTGAGCTTTCTGGCATTTTAATTTGCCTTAGTCCCATCCCCCACTATCCAGCTCTGGAATAGCCTTGAAAAATAACAACCCACTTTCCCATGGCAGCCTCTTAGGCACCAAAGGGAGTTAAAAGAGATGGAGTTCTTTCAAAGTCTGATTGCCAAATAATTATCATTATTTGACCTGTCTGGTGGTTCCTGGAATACCCAACTTGACAAGGCTGTCTATATTAGACCTGACTTGGAGCTTGCCCAATTGAAAAAAAGACCTTCTCTGTGCTGCTGGGAGTGCAGGGGAGCATTTGTCAAAACCAGTTATAGACAACTGTTTTTACTTCATGACTACCTGAAGTATAGATAACATTTGGAGCAAATGATAAACTTAACCAAAAAACTTAAAAGGAAAGGCTAGAGAATGAGATGTCTACAGGTGTCAGAGTTTATGGGGGCTTTGAAAAGCTCTAACATATTCCTGGAAATCTAGAAAGTTAAGCACATACATAGGACTGTCTACATGCTCAGGAAAGACATCGGTAGGTCCTAATATATGGCTGACCTTGAGTATCTATACAAGCAGGAAGTGAAAATAAGGCAGAGTTGTCAACAACCTGGTTGAGTGTTGGAAATATACCCCAAAACACATACAGAGTCCCTCAGCGAAGACTGGGAGACTTATTGGTTCTAAGTGTATAAGGAAATCTCTTGTTCAATTATTAGCCAACCACTAGACAGAAACTTCAGTGGCCATATACTGTAAAGAATACAGATCTTACGGAATTAGTTTAGGAAAATGTTTAAACAAAGAGAAAGAACAAGAAACAGCCACCACAACCAACCCTGAGGGGCAAACAGGGATCTGATTTCCAATGTTGCCACATTATATTATTTAAAATGCCTAGTTTCAACAAAAAAAAATCATGAGATACATAGAAACAAGAAAAGATAGCCCATATATAGAAAGAGAAACAGTTAATAGAAACTGTCCCTGAGGAAGCCCAGACATTGGACTTACTAGTTAGAGATTTTAAATGATCCACTTTAAATGTATGCAAAGAACTGAAAGAAACCATGTCTAAACATCTAAATAAAAGTATAAGAACAGTCTCACCAAAAAGAGAATATTAATAAAGAAATAGAAATTATTTTTAAAAATATTCTGGAGTTGAAAAAGTACAATAACTGAAATGAAACATTCACTGGAGAGGTTCAGCAGCAGATTTGATTCATAGAAAACCCAAAAACTTGTAGATAAATTAATTGAGATTATCCAGGTTGAGGAACAGAAGGAAAAGAATGAAGAAAAATGAACAGATCCTCAGAGACCTGTCAGACACCATCGAACTTACCAACATACACATAATGGAAATCCCAAAAGAAGAAAGAGACAGAGAAAGGGGCAGAAAGTATATTTGAAGAAATGGCCAAAAACTCCCCAAATTTGATGAAAAACATTAAACATCTAAGAAGCTCAACAAACTCCAGGTGTAATAAACTCAAAGAAATTCAAAGGTACACACATCATAATCAAACTATTGAAAGACAGAATCTTGAAAGCAACAGTAAAGAAGTGACTCATCACTTACAAGGGATTGTCAATAAGATTAGCAGCTGATTTCTCATCAGAAGCTACAGAGAGGCCAGAAGGCAGTAGGATGATGTATGTGAAGTGCTGAAAGAAAAAAAACCGTCAACCAAGAATTCTTGGTCCATCAAAAATCTATATCCTCCCAAAGGAAAGGGAAATTAAGATATTTCTAGAAAAAC